CAGGAACTACAGATATGATATTTACAGAACACCAAATCTAAGAAAAGTGTGTAAAACAGGGCCAGTGCTCAAGTCTTTGTTGATCTCACAAAGGCCTTTGATACAGTCAACAGAGAAACACTCTGAGTTATTCTTGAAAAGCTGAGCTGATCCCAACACTACATCAACTTGATTAGGGTCTTACATGATGGCATGGAAGCTTCTGTCAATGTTGGGGGCATTATGTCTGAATCAATAAAAGTGGAGAATGGGGTTAAACAGCAAGACCTGGTTGCACAGACTTTGTTTTCCATCTTTATCACTGTTGTAACTGTAACCAGGGTGTATATTTATAATATTGCAGTACAGGCAAACTTTTCAACATACTGTGCTTCGCTGCTAAATCAAAAGTCCTAATTCTTGTATGTGATCCCCTCTATACTGATGACTGTAACCTGGCCTCACACACTGCTGCTGATATGCAGTGTTTCATGGACAGGTTGTCCAAGTCATGAAAAGCCTTTGTTCTGACAATCTGAATAAGACAGTTGATATGTTTCAACCATCACCAAGCATAGTCTATGTGGAACCTTCCATTTACATTAACAGGAAGAAGCTGAAGGTTGTTGACAACTTCACTTACCTTGGTAGCACGATAAACTGTCACTGCTCCCTCGATGATGAAATATCTCTCCAACTTAAGAAAGCCATTGATGCCTTTTCTGCTCTTCAAGATTGTGTGTGGTCTTGGAAAATCCTGAAAAAGAAAACTAAGATATTTATAATGCCTGTGTTCTTACAATCCTTCTTTACTCTTGCGGGACTTGGGTAGTTCAAAGCTATTGGAATGCTTTCGCCTGTGCTGCCTGAGGTCAATCTTGAGCATTACTGGATCTCACATGTTCCAGACACAGGTAATAGAACAAGCTGATACACTCAGCATAGAAATTCATATACACAAGCACTGTCTTCGCTGGGCAGGACATTTAATACAGCTGGATGATAGTCGTATCCTCAAACAGATGCTCTACAACTGGGAAGTCTAGGCTGGCAATAGAAACAAGTAGAGGAAACGAATATACAAAGGATGTCACTCATTCCATGCAAAGTCAATAAACTGACAATATTGAAAAGAGCTGCTCACAAGGGAGAAGTAGACCCAGCTGTTGGTCAGTTTGTTTGCTGTGAGCATTAATGCTTGTCAAATGCAAGACTCCAAAACTACCTCAGGTGTAACATGGACAACCCACCAACAAATTATGTTCAATTCATTATTTCAGATCTGTTTACCTGTGATATGTGCAGCAAAAACTGCAAGAGACACTCTGTAGTCATGTGACATCTGAAAATCCATAATGATCCTTCACCAGAGAAGCCTAACCGTCAAATCAAAAACATGGATTTAGTTTGCAGTCTTTGTAGAAAACTCTGTAGGTCCCTTGCCAGATTCATTCAGCTGTCACTGTCGATCTCATGTTTGTAGGAATATTCGGTTATAAGTCAGTGATGGTTATGTTCATCTAATGAGTAGACAGCCATCATATGTTGCATGTATGTGTGACACTTTTCACAGATACTACACTCCAGGGCCACAGGGCAATGGTCTTATGCCCCTCCCCCACTCTACTATGTCTCAATTTTCATAAGGTAGTATTCATATAAAATACAAATTTTATTGTACAATAATGAATCATATGCAATATAGGTGAACAATTCAACAAGAAAATTGAAAATAAATACAATGTGTCTAAAAACAAATTAGAGACATGTCATAATAGATCATCTGTTCTTAAATAAATCAACAATGTTTATTGTGGCAATTTTTAACATCAACTTGAGATTTTTCTTGTTAAAAAGTTGTAGAATTTTAGCACATTCAACATTATGAATAAAAAACAGTGAATTTTATATAGTGAGACTTAACAGGAGAGCAAAGCAAATTCATGGATTTGGATGGAAAAAAAGAAGACCACAATGATATCAAAATCTGAAAAAAAAAAAATTTTAATTCTTTAATTAGTTGTGCTTAGTTTAATTTGGAATAAATGTAGGTGGAAAAAAAAAGGAAATGTTGATAAGATAGTGAGGGTCACAAAACACTGCCCAGGGCTCCCAGTAAACTCCTCCACTGACCGGGGGGTGGGTAGTACATGCTGACCCTGCTGCACTCTAATCCTAGGGAGAAGTGCTGTTGTGTTTACCCATATGTAAATAACTCGGTTAATTTTTATAAATACTTTGCTAGTGTATGTGTATATGTGTGTGTTAAATTTTTTAAACATTGCTGACATTGAAGATTTTTAATTTTTATTTTTTTCTGTAAATTGAAAATGTGTGGTGAATGGCTAAATATGGCTTTGTTAATTTTGACAAGTTACTATTGTTTTTTTGTTTTACATTTTATAAATGTTTACTTCCTATTATGTTGCTATTGACTGTCCTATTACGTCTACCCTACTCTGTATTTTTTTCTAATTTTAAAGATGAAGTTATTGAGTTTATTTAAATACGCTATCCACAATTATTGTGGTTATAGGAATTTTTACTTTTTCTAGTGGGTATTTCAACTTCCTTGTTATATATGAGTCTGTTTATTCAACTGGAACAGTTATTTCTGAATAAGCAAATAGCCATTGCAAAATTGAAAACTTTTAAGTCCAGATTCATTTAAAGTGCTGAATTACTAGTTGTTGATATTGACTTCTGCTTTCTTTTATTTGTTGCTTTACTCTTACAGCTGTACAGATTGCAGATTTTTTTTCTTTTGCCATCTTTGTACTGTTTTCATATCTGTTATTATGACCTCTTCATTCAACATGGGATTAATTCCCCACTCCCTTTTCCTTGTAGTCTGTTATGTTAATTAAGAGAGAATGTTTTTTGCTTTTTCACAAGAGATTTGCTTGAATTTGTCTTCGACAACAATTCTGGTAGATTCAGTTCTCTGTCTTGGGCTCACTTTACTTGTTCTGGGATTTCTTTCTTTGGATAGAATTTGGTTCTAGTCTTGGTATTAGTAAAAAAAAGTGAATCGGTTGAAAATCTGAGCTATCATGAAAGATTTTCTACATTCATTCCTATACTTTTGGATTATTTCATGTGTAATGTTTTTTTAATTGTTTTCTAAAGTGTGAGGTTTAAAGAGATGAAAAGGAGGAAGAAAAATTATTATTGACACTTAAAAGCTTTTTGCAATATGTAGAAGGCTGAACAATATTGGTTAAAAATTAAAATGCTTTAAAAACAAAAAGATAAAAACTGAAGAAAGTTGTATGAAAAATAATATGGAATAATGAAAATACTTCATTAAAAAAAGAAAAATACTTCAGAAAACTCTTGGTTTTGTTAGTAAATTAATACAATATAATTTTAACTGAAATCTTAAGTTTAAAAATATATTTTCTTCATTGGTAAAGATGATGTGCCTCTATTGAAATAGGACATGTGAATTCAAATTTTTGTTTTTTGTTTTTATGTCACTATCACTTTACAACTGTGAAGTGATGTTTAAGAGAAATTTTTACTTGTCTAGATTTTGTTTTAGACACAGAGAAATAAAAGTAGAACAGGCATGCATCAAGTTTAGCAAATAAACTTTATTCTAGTTCGTTTATAACATTGTACAATGGAATTACTACCAGAATATTGTTTATATACTTTTTGGAAACTAAAGTTCTGTCTTTTCGTTTAACTTTGCATAATAGTCCAATAAAAAATTGACTGAATTTGACCAGAAACTGTACAAGATAGAACAATTTACTTTGATAATAAGCTTTAAGCTGTAATCTACATCATAAACTTTATTTCAATAGGAGTCAGCATTCAGAATTATTCTACTCCTAATAGATCAAAGTCATCTGTGGTCAATTTTATCTCACAAACAATATATATAAAATTTCCTTATCTTTGAGTGGAACTTTAGAAATATAAAGCACAAAATAATTTGTCTATATTAATAATGCAGAAGAAAAGCAATTGTTATTTATGGCTTTAAATAATGGCTAATACATCTGCAAATTTATATATGTCCAATAAAAAAAATATAAAAATGAGTCTTTTTTTTTTCTTTTTTTTTTTTTTAATGTTTTTCTCTTCTAGACTTTAACTCTTACAATATTTGAACAAAGTTTGGTGTGAATTGTTATTAATTAAATTCCTTGTATGATACATCAATCTGATTATATTAATTATTTGGCATTGAATTTTTCTGTTTAAAAGCTAGAATTAAATGCTTTTTGTTGTATTTTACTTTGTGCTTTTGTAGGTTAGCATATAAACAGTAATTTCTGTCAGATGCTTTTTTATTCTTTCAACTTAATCTGTTTAATTTGTTATTTTTTATTTATTAACATTTTTTATAATACATTCCTCTTTTAAATGGTGTTATCTTCTACTTTGTTATTTTAAGCATTTATAATTTAAACGTTTTGGAAAATCTTCATAAATATACAACAAAATAGAGATTACTCTCATTCATGTTTTTAATGTATAGTTTTCTATTTATTTCTAATATTAAAAATGTGAATAAGATATGTTAAAGAGTTTTAATTTTGAGTCCATTTTAATATGGACAATGCTTATTAATTTTATCAGTTAATTGCTGTCCATTTGCATTTGTGTTAATTAATCCGATTATAGATGATATACTATTGATACTTTTACCAGTGTATTTGTATGTATGTATAGCAACATGGATCTGTAACTTCTGTAAAGAAAATATAGAATCAATAAATTTTGTCTGCTGCAAACTTGATAAAAGAAATTCCAAGTGAAGATTGTATTAAAAAGTTAAAACTGAAATTTATTTTTAGTTCTTAATCCATAAGAATTATCCACATTGAATCAGTTTTTATAATGAGAAATTAAGATATGTTGGTCTTTTGTTATATCTTCTCTTCTAGAACAATATTTTGTCACACTATTATTTTTAATTCTTTTTTTCTGTTTTAGCTATGGAGACCATTAAAGCTGGAGAATTTCATGAAATGTTTTCTTTCTTTTTTTTTTCTTTCTTTAATTAGAAAAATCCTGAAGATGAGCAACACCTCCAGTACTGCCAGGAATGCAAAGGTTTTAAAGTTCCAAGATCACATCACTGCCGCAAATGTAAAAGGTAAAATACTTAAGATACAATTTCAATTTTTGTTAATATTATCTTTTAGAAGTATTATAAATATTTGCCCAGTTAGTTTTCATTATACTTAAGAACCCTAAAAATTAAAGTCTTTGACTTTTGACGTTTATCATTTAAATTTCTCTGTGCTGAATGAACAAGAGACCAGATCTCTTACAGATGATTTTCATTTAACATTATACATTTTAAGTTTAAGTCTTTTTTTTTTTTTTTTGTGGTTAAATTGAATAACCTCTTTTGTGGATACTCCTTGTTGCCTCTCTACAATGTTTGGTGTCTTTCCTTCTTTCTTTCTTTCTTTCTTTGATATCATAATCATAACAATTGCTTTTAAGAGGTGAAAAACCTCTAATTCTGGATATAACAGATGGCTTTCTGTAAAACTAAAATTACTGTACTTGTTCACATTTAACACACCTTGCTAATTAAATGAACCAAAATGGAATTCAGCTCAAGTCATCTGTGACTCGGTAAACTTGTATAATTCATGGCACAAAGTGCATGCTAAACATCTGAACTCTTGCTAATGAATTCTCTCTTTTTTTTCTTTTGTCTTTTATCAATAGTTCAAATTCTAATTTTCCAATTTAATAAAGGTGTTGTATTTCTAGTAATAGTTATAAAATATTGGATTATATTTTGAAGTTCATCTAATTGAATAAAAGCTCTGATTTTAAGCAGGTCAAAAGACCATCTTCCTTTGGCAATCAGTCTAGTTATTATTTTGTATATAAATATTTACATTTTTCAAAGTCTTACTTTATTTAACCTTTGTTCTTTGATTAAATAGTGTAAATAAAATCATTAGGTATAAAAAAAAAAAAAAATTAAGGAAAGCAACATATGACTTGGAAATTCATAAGTCCATAGCTTATAGATGAAAACAAAAATAGCACTTATTTTATAAAACTATTTTGTCAACAGTTATCATTCCTTCTCAGTGAACTTAATTCAGAATTAAAAACTAATCATGAAAAATGAACATTATACAGTGAAAAATTCAGATCATGAATCACTTAATTATATGTCAAGCTATGGACTTATTGATCCACCTTTGTATGTGAAAGCTATGTACTAATCATCAGTAAGAGCTTAAAAATGATTTTCATGAGAGTTGTCATTAAATAAATGTATATTCCTGTAACTGAGATTTGATCCAAAGAATTTAAAATATTTATGTGATAAAATAGTTGTTATGATAAGTATTCTCTCTGATAGATGTCATCTCGAGAGAAGGTAACTCTCCCATAAGTATAGTGATATTGTGTTTTATACAGTACGTAATTTACATATCCCTACACCTCCCTGAACCTAAGAGGTTTTATACCTTTAATTGAACTTTGACTTCTACAAACCACCCTGAGAGAGATAATCTGGCTTTCAGAGTGAGTCTCTTTATTTCTTTTTATAGGAAATCTAGGTCTTAACTGATTCTCCTCATATGAATCCGCATGATATCTCTGGTTACTCTCATCCCCAGATTGTTCCTCATTCTCTCCCCCATCTCCTGTTCTTCACTTTCATATGTCTGGTGGTCTTCCTGATCATTCTCATTACTGGATTCATTCATCCTTTCTTGCTTTGTCTGTTCTTCTGCTTCCTCTTCCTCCTCCTCCTCCTTTTCCATAACTTCATGCTCTCTTGTGGTTCTAAATTGGTCTTCATGAGCTAGTATGCCCTGTCCATTCTTTGTTAAGACAGTTGTGTTAAATCCCTTTTGCACTACAAAATTTGCCTTTTCAGGAATTGAATCCTTGTCCTTTCTGTATCACACACTTTCATTGGTATGAATAGGAACTTTTCAGGCTTGACTGTTTTCTTTAAGCTGAATACTCACCTCATATCCCCTTAATAATCCAATATCCAGTTCTACAGACTTCATAGAATTTACCAGCTTCGATGTATCCACTTAACATGTCAATTCCTAAAAAAACTGTAGCTTTTGATGTTTTCACCACTATGATGGGTATTATTGCAAATCTATTTTTATCTCAAACATGCCTTCAAAGCATCCTAAAATTTTAGGATGCTTTGAATAATATTACTTTAGTCTACTCATTCTTTCCCATAAATTCCTCAGTATCAACATAATATCACTTCCAGTATCAACCTGCATGAGTAAAGTTACTTCGTTCAACTTCACCATTTCTATACTTTTATCTCAAATAATTCTCTACTTTCAATTGGAGGATCTGTATTTTCCACTCGCTTTTTCTTATGTGCATATCATCTGGAAATGATTCCTCTCTTTACACTTAAAACACCATTTCCCAAAGGCCGGACACTTATTTTAGCTCTTTTCATCTTCCTTATTGCAATATCTGCATATAAGTAGGCTTTTAGTAGCACTGTAAGTCTCCATGTTGCCTTTGGAGGCATTAAATTTTAAAATCAATTCCAATTGTTGTAAAAACTCCACATATGCTTCCAGATTCATATTATGAGTTTGAAGCCACTCAAGAATTTTACACTTGTACAAGATGTCAAACATTCTTTCAATCAGTTTTAGTAAAATTAGCTCATCTTTGATAGACATTTGTTCTGAACCCATTCTTTCAAATTTACAATATTTCAACACTTCTTTCAATTGATGTACATATTGCATAATAGTTTCATCCGGTCTCTGTCTCCTTTTGAGAAATTTAGTTCTTTCCACTATGACCAATCTTTTTTTTTGTCATAAATTTTATGATGGCAGCAATTTCTTCATACTCTAATTCTTCCAAAACTTTGGGAAAGACCATGACAAAGATTTTTTTATGACCTCCACTTACTTTAGTGTCCTTTATTTTTTTTACTCTTGCTGACGCTGAGAAACACCTAAACCAGGTTTCCACGTATTCAGGATCCTCCAACATGGTTAAGTAACCAATTGGCAATGCCATATTGTTGTGATAAATATTCTCTCTGACAGAGAGTAGTCTCATCAAGAGAAGGTAACTCTCCCATAGGTATAGTGATACTGCCTTTTATACAGTACATAATTTACATACCACTACAATAGTTTTCTTTTTTACTTAGAAAAAATTTGTCATCAGTTTTTTATATAAAAATGAATAATGGCTCAGATTTTAAAATGCTTTTTGGTTGGTCATGAGAGCACAAATAAAAATCATCTTTAAATTTTGGTAAACTTTGAACGATTAATGCTTATTAGTTTTCTAATTATAGATGTGTGATGAAGATGGATCATCACTGTCCTTGGATCAACACCTGCTGTGGTTACCTGAACCATGCCAACTTTATTTATTTCTTGCTGTTTGCTCCCTGTGGCTGCATTCATGGTGCTGTCATCCTCATTGCTTCCTCAATTCACACACTCAATTTGGTTAGTGCTTTAAACCTTTCAGATTAGGACTCCTTGGTGTAGAGTAATAGTTACCAAATTTAGCCTGGTTGATCATTTACTACAGAATAGAGAGTTTGATCAACACTGGGAGTTCCATTCAACTTTAAATTATCCAATAAGGGTTAACTTTTCAGATTTTATGTAAAAATTTTTATCATTTATTCTTTTTTATTCTGATCTTTTTTTATTGGAAATTTTAAATAAAAGTTTGGTTATTTTTCTGTATAGAAATTGTTACCAGACTTGTGATGTTAATTTATGTAAAATGATTGAAGTGATGTTTTATTTACTATGGATGACTTAGTTGAACTTATTTTTTTTTTTAATGTAATTTGTTTCTAATGCAAAACAATATTAATCACTTATTTTCTTATTTTAACTATCTATAACTAAATATGTTACTGATTGATAATGTATGAAAACTTATATTATTTGTATTCATTATCAGCATTTAATTCTTTTTGTAATTTCAGCATTATTTTCGCTTCTATGCTAATGGAGAGCCCATGGTGGAACTAAGCATTCTGGGATTTATTCTTGTTGTTTTCACCATAGGCCTGGCAGTTGGTGTGGTAGTTGCTGTGGGAATGCTGTTTTTCATTCAGGTAAGCCTCCATTTTACATCATATTGTTTCTTTTTTAGGTTAATATCTTTCTTATACAATCTTTATCTGAAATTAAAACAAATATTAATAATTATACTATTATACACATTTATTTACAATATGATGAACAATCTCCAAGTTACATAATAAAATATCACACCACCAAATAAGTTATTGTAAATATAATAAAATATATTATAAGCTAAAATTCACACACACACACACACACACACACACACACACACACACACATATATATATATAATTGGTTGGTTTATACCAATTTTATTGTGAAAACCTTGACTTGCATAATAAAATCTGATATAGTACAGAGTTTTCTGCAAAGTCATGTTGCTGAAATTATTTAACAGTGGTTAGTTGTACTTTTATAATTAAGAAAATAAAAATCATTTGTCACATTTCAGGAAGATGTTTATATTGTTTAAAAAATTAGGAAAAAGTCATTTCAAGTTTCTTAACTTTGTAGTTAGCCATTTTGGCTTTTCTTCAATTATAATAGCAAATGAAATGTTGAAAAACAAAGTATTTTAAATAAGTGCTTTATTGATGTATTTCACAGGCAATAAATTATAAAAATTTCTTTAAACATTGATCAGAGTGAGCTTTCCAAACTGCTGTACCTCCGTAATCACCATTAGACTCATCCAATTCTTTCAATTCTCTGCACTGTCCTCAGATTGACACCTAAACACTCTGAATATTGGAGCTTTTGGCACGAATGGCAAGTAGTACAGCATGCCATTTCCAAATTTCTAGTAGAGTTAATTGCATCACAGTGCTCTTTTTCTCACAGATAGTGCCGAACTGACCCTATGATACTGTGCAGTCAACAAAAACAAACAACATGCATGCACAAAACTAAAAATATAAAATGGCGACAATTTAGCCATCATACCCTGTATAACCACCAACTAAAGAAACCCAATTGCCATATTTTTTATAATAGTAATCTTTTTGCTTATAAATTGTTTATCTGCTTTCTTTTTTCTTTAACATTCTGGAAGTGATTTTGTTTGCAAAGTAAAAGTTCTATTCTGCTACTGCAAATGACTCAGATGATAGCATGTTTGAATTTTGCAGTCATGTTGTCATATATTGCTATGGCAACCAAAAATGACTGAAATTAAGTAGTACAGTAGAGTGTTGAAAGACAATGAAGTGGAAAGGAAAGTAGTGAATAATGCAGTGTGTTAAAGGTTAAGTAAACTAAATAACCTTCATTTATGCTAACAAATGACTTTTTTCAGAAAAAAAGAACATCATCCTTCATGAAGCATGTAATTTTCTAATTAGTTCAAACTGATCTGAACAGGTTTTTGTGTGGGTTAACTGCAATGTGCTAAAACATACAAGAAAAGATTTTAATTTTTATGTAATTATTATGGTAGATGCAGAAGGAATAGTGAAGCTTTTTAATGAAATACTGAAGCAGGCTAATATTAAGAATGCCTGACAAAGCTTAGGAAAGAAAAAATAAGTTTATGCTCATTGTTAAAAAAACGTTTTTAATCCACATGCTTATTGAACAAATACTTAAAAGGATATTTTTTTATTTAAGATTTGAAAAGCTGCATTCTCATCTGTTTGCTTGTCATAGGATTAGCAGGTCTGCACTTTGCCTATGTGTGATACAAAACCATATAATACTCGCCTATTCAGTTTTATGTAATTTTCATTTACTGTCATTGCTACTAATGTTTTATGATGTAAAATGTTTGTTTATATATTATTTTTTTTTCAGTTTCATGAAGTTCTTAAAAACGAAACTGGGATTGAAACTTGGATAATTGAAAAAGTTAGTATTTTAAAAATATCTTTTGTATTTGTCATTTATCTCTCACATGCTGTTCATTTGTAGATTAGCAAAATTAGATTTCATGAAAGTTTTTAGTTCTTGATTAGTCAACTGGATTCTCACAAAAGTAGGTAATACTTGATAAAATAGCATTTTTAATCCCAACAAAAATTTCATATTCTGGTGCAGAGATATCCAAAATGTGGCCCACAGGCCCTACTGCATGCCATTTAATATTTTTATATGGCCCACTGCACCCTAAAATCTTTAGATATATTTTCATTTACTTTAGTAATGTATGTTGAGAAAATTATTCTCAGATTGTGCAAGTAGGTTCAGTTCCATATTGCATTAAAAGGGGAAGAAGTGAGCAGAGGCCTTTGCCGAGACACATTGGCTGGTATGTGGTGCAAGAGCCAGAGCTAAACAAAAATTATTTAACTTATGGTTTTTTGGCTCTGGGTCATGTGGTATCATCCTTGAATCTCCTACTTGAAACCAATCATGTCAAATTTGCTGTTAATGAGGCAGTGAATTAATAAAAGGATACCTTTTGATGTTGTAACATAATTGGTGACAATTTTACAATAACCGATGAAAAATTTTGTTGGCATAGTCTGTCATTTTCATTGTTTAAGTTTCAAAAATTTTAAGGTTTGATGAATAATGACTGTTTATTTCTTAACATTTTTTACAATATCAAGGGATAGTGACTTTGAACCTATGCAGAGAGATTCGTAAAAAGTAGTATCCATGTCCAGTTACACCATTAATGATAAAGAATGAGAACCTTTAATCAGGCAGGTGAAACAAACTCATTTTCCCTTTTTTAAATGAGTGTCAGGCATTTTAGTGACTTGAGGTTAGGCTTAATGCCAAGTGAAAGGGCTAATTTAAATTTATTCTTTATTCCTTTCTAATTTCAGGTACATAATACAAACATAGGTCTATCTATATATTTCTTTTGCTAATGTAATAATTTAAATACTTTCAACACATTCCAATTATATTCATAATTATTTAGTTAACTTTAAATTTATACTTTTAATAACCCAACATTTGGTCATGGCAACTAATGCTAAGAAAAGACTATAGAAAATTCATTATTCTATGGACAGAAAAATATTTTGTAATTGAAACATGCAGTAATATTATCTGTCTCATTTGTCATAAAATTGATGTGTGCAAGGAATAAAATATTAAGCATCACCATACTGTCAAACATGAGTTGAAATATAATAAATTAAACAAAGAAAGAAGAAAAATGTAAATAGATGAATTGAAGAAACAGTTTACTTCTCAACAAAACATTCTCCAAAAATCTGTTGTTAAAACTAATACATTTACAAAAGTTAGCCATTTAATAGCTGAAAAATTGACTTGGAAGGGCAAGCCACTGATAGATGATGAATTAATAAAAGAATGTATTGTAATTGCTTTTAATGAAAGTGAATTTATTCAATGAAACAAGTCTCTCACATCAGACAATTGGTAGAAGAATTGATGACATAGCTGGCAGCATTGTGTGTACATTGCAGGCCCAATTATCTAAATGTATTTATTACAGTTTAGCATTGGACAAAAATACCAATCAAAGTGACACTGCTCAATTAGTTATTTTCATCAGAGGAATTATTGTCACTTTTAATATAATTGAAGAAATGTTGAACTTATGCCATATGAAGGCATAACTGGTGAGAACATACTTGAGCCCATTAATTTATCAATTGAAAAGTTCAATATTGATAGAAATAAAATTTATTCAATTACAAGTGATGGTATTCTTGCATTAATTGGTAAAAATAATAGACTTATTACTTTATTCAAAGAATCAATTGATCATGATATGCTCAACTATCATTGCTTGATTCATCAACAGCAGTTATGTGCTCAAAAGTTAAATATGAATCAGTTGATGTTATGATGTTGATTTGGGGTTAGTAGAGACAAAACACCAAATAACACGTAACAATAAAAAGGGTTTTAATAGGTTGGTAAAAAGGTACAGAAATCGCCTGAGTAGTCAATAACTAGCTCAGCTAAGAACTTCTCTGTCTGTCTCCCCATGTCAACTGACATGCCACTATTTAAAGTCTTTGTTCACAGACGCAGACAAGTTCATCTTCAAGAGGGGTGGTAGGTTTCCGACACAACAGTTGATGACAGATATTTTGAAAGTTCTGAATTTTATCAGGTCTCGGGACTTGAATCATCGTGATTTCAAAAAATACTTCGAACAAGTTTGTAGTGGATATGAAGATGTTATTTCTCAAAAGTCAGATGGCTCAATAAAGAAACTTTGAAAAAATTTCAATTATTGTTATCTGAAATAAGAGTTTATGCAAAGGAAGAAGCAAAATGTAGATTTTTTTTAGAAAATGAAGAATAGTTGAAAGATCTTTCCTTCTTAGTAGATATCACTGAAATGTCTAAACTTAATTTGAATTTACAAGGAAAAGACCAGTTATGTTGCTCAATGTTTGAGCAAATAATAGGTTTTACTAAGAAGTTATAACTTTTGATAACAATTGAAAGCTGGTGAAATTGTACATTTTCAGAGTTTATTAAAAAGAAAAATTTTCTGCGAACTTTGAAAAATATAGTAAATTATATGAAGTGTTTTTAAAAGATTTTACAACCAGATTTTCTGACCTCAGAAAAATAGAAACTGAATTAAAATTGTTTAGTGATCCATTTTATTTAATTATGTGGAAGCACCAACCAGATACCAACTAGAATTCATTGAGCTTCAAAGCAGGGAATCTTTGAAAACTTATAGAGAAAATTCCCTTCTTGAAGTTCAGTCTTTCAATGAATTTTATAAAATTGTCAGTTTATCTAGAAAACTGTTATGCAATATGGGGTAGTACATACTGCTGTGAACAATTCTTTTCATACATAAAAAACATCAAAACTGATGAAAGAAATATGTTGAGTGATTCCAATTCAACTAACAATCTTAGAATAAAGACTAATACCATAAAAGCAGATATTGACAATATTATAAAAGGAAAGTAATGTCAAAAATCACATTGAATTTATTTTATTTTGTATATGTATAAGTACTTTTTTTTTTTTTTTTTTTTTTTTTTTTTTTTTTTTTTTGCTGTCAGTATTTTTTGTAATTATATATATCTGTTATTAAAATTAGATAGTCACATTTCGAACTTTTTAAAAGCATATTTACAGTGTGTGATGGGAAATTTTATATTTTTAATTTTGCATATGTGCGTTGTTTGATTTTGTCAACTGCGCAGTATAGGGTCAGTTGGGCACCATGATGCAACTCACTCCACCAGAAATTTGGAAATGGCATACTGTACATGATGGAAGCTCCAATACAAACATTTCAGAGTATTTGGGTGTCAATCTGAGGACAGTGCAGAGTATTCAGAAAGAGTTGGATGAGTCTCATGGTGATTATGAAAGTGTTTGGAGTGATCACTAGTGACAGCCACATTATGCTTCCATTCATCTTCCCTCAGGGACTCAACACAGAGGCTTACATCAAGTGCTTTGAGGAGGTAGTGCTGCCCTGGGTAAAGAGGATTTTATTGAATAAATTTACTCTATAGTATTTCAAGATATTTTTGTGTAATTTTGGTAAATATATGTTAAAGTGAGATGTCAGTATTATTTTCATTTTTACATAATTTAGATGACAATTTATCCATCGCACTCTGTATATAAAGTACTTTTGTGGCCTGGTGAATATACCTAAATTTCTAATTTGGCCCATTAGGAAAAAAAGGTTGAACAAACCTAATCTTGTACATTCTTGAGCTATTTACATATTACTTTTTGACACTATGTATTGTCCCCTATTAAATCATTTAGAATGAAAAACTGTAAAACAAATCAAATCATTGCTTAAAAACATTAAAAAAAAAAATCTCTTAATTCCTGCTTTTAGTTATACAGAAGATATTTTTTGTCTTTTGTTTCTTCATTTATGCTATATTTTCTTTTCATCATTATCCATGTGCATATCTTTAATTGTAGGCAAAAACACGAGAAAGATCTGAATCTGAAGGTGAATTTCTCTTCCCTTATCATCTGGGCTGGAAAAAGAATTTGAAACTTGTTTTTTGGCCATCAGGTGAAATTTCATCCAATGGAATCCATTGGCCTGTGAGAGATTCTTGTCACCAATTTACATTAACAGTAAGTTGACTCAAAAAAATCAGCAAATTCCATTGATTCAACTTGAAGCCATCTCTGGAAAAATAATTTTCATTAAGAAATATGAAGAGTTATTTTTGTAGACATTTTCTCTGACATAACATTACTAATTCTTCTTTTTGTGTTGTACCAACACCACCAAGATAAGAAGGCCTGTTCAATTAAACATGATGTCATCACAAGTAGTATAAGCCGAAGTGAAGCTGCTGAAAATGAATTATTGTAGGTTTTCTTTTTTTTTTTTTAGTATGAAATTCTTTTGAAATTACAGTTTAAAAAAAAAAAAAAGTAACCCAGGTTCGAATTTCATCTTGGAACTTTATTCAATATTAACTTGTAAAAATAAAGAATAAACAGGCAAACAACATTATTATAAAAATGTTTTATTCTGTGAAAATTATGATACTGACAATTGAAATTTTTCATATCAGACAAAGAAAAGCAAACCAGTGTTCAATTTCTACCTTACATCTTTAAATAAATAATGATAAATAGATTAAAAATTTGTTTTATTTTAATGATTATTCCATAAAGTTACTGTATTATATTGACATAGAATATTTTTTATATTACAATTACATTAGAAAAGAAAGAAACCAAGCTTCAACTTTTAAATTAGAATAAACTTTATTTTTTTATTTTCTAAAAGAAAATTATTTGAAGTTTTACATTTGTTACTATGTTAAAGTAAATAGTGTATGTTTCCTTATTTTGATTGTATAAAATTATTTGAAAACTATTTTCTTTACAATAAAAAAATCAACATGGTTTTAATTTGTATATTTCATTTTAATTATTCTGTCGTAGTAAAGTTAAAATGCTGACATTTTTGTTGTGTAGAAAATAAGACAAATTTTAAATAATTGTAGAAAAAATGTTACATATGGTAAATTTAACTGAAGGTTTGAAGTTTTTTTTGATTAACTTGTTTCTAGTAATATTATTATTATTTTCCCTAGCACAAAAATTATTCAAAAGAACATTTGAAAAGCTCCAGACAAGTATTCTTTCAAATTTTTCAATACTGTAACCATCAAGAGTCCACATGAAAAAGATGATCATTATCTGCCAAAACATAAGGTTATATGCATGACTAATTGTCTTTGATTTACTGAATGAAAATTTTTTGTCAATTTAACAATAACTATATAATTATAGATAACAGCATTTGTAGTAGTATCATTAGAATATAGTAGAGAACCTCTATTAATCCCCTGAAAGTAGATGTTTATTTCAGGTATTTTGTCCTCATTATCACTTCCAGATATTGAATTTTTGTAACTATTGCATTTCATTCTCTTAAAAACTGCATGACGCCAATATTCTGCTACATATAACAGGAACAACTTTTTTGCATTCATTAACATCCTCATCTGTTAAATTTATAAATATCTAAATTTTGCTCACCTGTCACTTCATCTCAGTTTGTAAATTCTTCAAATCAATACTTAGTTTTTTGGTGTTTTTTTAACACTCAAACACTTGATATATAGAGATATTAAACTTCACCAAGTTGCCAGTATTGGCCAAATCTATCTTCAAGATGATCTGTTTGAAATTTACCAGCTAATATACACATCTTTTTCAATTCTTCTCTGCAATATTTGGTCAGTTCTAGAATTGCATGAGTAGTATGATACAAAATTCTGAAAATTTCATTTGTTAGCTTCCCATTATTTTCAGGAATGCTATTCCAAGATTAATTGCAGAATATGTTGAGAAATATATAAGTGTCATCATTTAAGTGGATTAACATACTTATTGTTAAGCTGTCAACCTTTTATATGGTGTTTTTACATTAAGCATGGTGGTGTAATGGATAGTGACTTGGATTGAGGAATCGGAGAACTGAGTTTGAATTCCATTTGAATCCATTACATTCACTTACATGCTAATACCTTTAGGAAAGGTATGAGTCTTCTTCTTCTCCCCCCCGGCTATGGGTAAATAGCAGGACAGACTAGGTTCTATAGCCTTCGATGGCAACTGGTCTACCGCAGAAAGAAAAGGTAATCTACTGCAGGAAAAAATCTGCCTCATCAGTCATGTATCCAAAGATACATGATCGCCTAAGCACGTATCATACATGGCACATAACTGACTGATTGTCCACCAAGTTTGAAATATGTTTATATATTCTGCAAAATTAGGCAACTATTTCTGTTTCCCTAAGATCAGTAATCCCTGAATAGTGAATTGGTTAAAATTCTGCAAAACTAATGAAACATTCTGCCTTTCCAAACTCATGGGAGAAAGAGTCTTTGAGGTCAATTTATAGCAATATTTCAAAATTGACTGAGATTCCAGGATATGAAACTATTTGTATCACTTACATGATCAGGAATATCATACTTCTCTATAAATTTCCACATCACCACAGAACACATGTACTGCAAAATTAGGTTCAATTATAACAGATTGACTAATTTTTGGATATGAAGACTAACTGCTTTCACTACACTCCAGTAATTTCTATCAAGAGAATTTAATTTACCCGCTATATCATTAATGCTGTGGAATTTCCTCTGCTTCTTGTATTCTAAGTCATTAGCAATACTTTGATCCAGAGCTCTTTTAAGGGCAGAATTCTTCAGTTGAATTTTTCTAGACTCTGGTGAATCTCTAGAGGTGTTTAGTAAAGATAAATATGAGTGACAGTTTGGTAAAATTCTAGGGATTGCACCTACACAAAGAATTGCTTTCTCAAGGTTAACACTAATTGTGATACCAGTTTTCTTATGGAATACTGATGTTTCTCACCTTATATCTGCAGCATGAAAATGCAGTTTACATACCTAAAAGAATGAATTAAAAGAGCAATTACACCATATTTTAAAACACTTGTCAAGATCTAAGATAGTAAAAAACAAACTATGCTGTCCATATTTTTAGCGAAAATTTCATTAAATTGATAAAAATGAGTTTTGTAGGTGTTTTAAAAATTCAGTAACAAAATTCAAAACTATTTAGAAATACTAAACCCATAGGCAAAATCATGTAAATTTTAAGTTTACACATGCATATTTGTGGACATTTTTATGGAAATATTTTTTTACAAATAAAACAAAATTCAAACATTTATTTTTAAATGTTTATTAGAAATTATTATGAAAATTATCTTTAAGTATTTATATTGAAAATTTTTTAAAATGATGGGTTTAAAAATTTCATCCACAGAATTCAATAAATCTTTTAGTGGAGGCCACCACATTACTTTGTTTCAATGTATCATGAATTATAAAGTCATGAAATTAATTTAATAATTTTAGTTTTACAAATAATGTGAAAGAAAATAATATAAAGAAATTACTATTTTTATTTGGTACAAAATTTTCTATTTTACCAGCACTGCACATATCCATGCATTTGATAATTCCTTATCTTTTGGAAATGAAAACGTATTCATTTTTGACCCATTTTGATAATTTCCTTTGCATTTTGGGACAGCGCAACCATACAGCATTTGTTTTTGGTAAATTATTTCAATGAAAATATTGAAAAAAAATATTTACAAAACATAAAATACCAAACCTAGTGAAGAAAACTCGAACAAAAAACATGATGAAAGTATTTCTCAGAATTTATACTCCATATAGTGATGTCAGCACAGAAGACCACGTCCATCGAACATGCATTCTACTCAGTGGTGTTGGTTGTACACGATGCAAAGAAAACAGCTTTTCCTTCTTTTCAAGTTGCACAGAATGGAAGGGAGACAACTTTTCTTTTTACCTACGAAAAATGGGTACACATTTTTTATTAAATACCAAAGAATTCTATTATGATGTCTGCTTAAGGGATCCACCAAAAAGCAAAAAAGATCAAGAAAATTATAACGCAACAAAATGAATAGAATTTTTTAATGATATTTTTAAAATATATTTGAAAATTAAATATATTCATGTATACTTATATAAAAGAATTTCAAACAGGTTTGGTTAAATAATTTAAACATATCATGTCAATTAGTTTTTGTTGTGATCCTTTCAATTTCACAGATTAATTTCTTGGTAGACTTAAAAAATTAAGAAAAATACCAAAATTTTCTTTTAAATACTGTATTTGATGGCATATAAGATGTACGGGTCTATAATATGGACCTCCAATTTCAGCAGAGCAAATCAAGAAAAAATTAGTAATTAATAAAATTATTAGTAAATGGTACAGCCTTAGGCTATATTTATGAGGTATTATTTTGGTTAAACAAGCCATGATTACAATTAAATGAAAAATAATAGGAAAAAAGTACAGGAGCCTATAAAAACTTTTATATCCAATGGTAAGAAAGCAAAATAAAAATCAAGCAATTATTACAATTGAGCAAAACAGTACAGTTACCATTAAAGACACATCCAGAGGTTGCAACTGACTCGTTAGTCCACCAGCACTATTTCTCTCTTCAATTCTTCTGCCACTTTCTTTTTAATGGATTCAGTCCTATGTGCTCAGAACTGATCCCAAACCAGAAGAGAGATTTCATAATAGTCCACCAGGACATCTTTCCCATACAACTCGTAGCCATAACTGTAGATCAGCTTCATCCATCCAACCTTTTGGATGAACATGAACATACACACACTTTTCGTTTTTTATCTTTCAATGTAGTTTTTCTCTTAAAAATCAGAAAAGGAGGCAGTTTTATGCCATCAGCGCAACATGCAAGAATGGCCATATAATGGTTCTTCTCATGATTTTTGCTTTTTATTGTAATATTCTTGGATCCCTTAATACTCACAGTTTTGTTTGATGAAACATTAAATGTTAGTGGGACTTCATCTATATTTCCTATCTGGCCTAGTTCAAAAGGAGTTCTTTTTCAAGCATGTATAACAAATTTATGAAACTTGACTATTTTGTCATCATAGTCAGCTGGCATTCTCTGTGCAATTGATGTTTTTGTACACATTGACAAACCTTCCCATTTCATAAAACGATAACACCATCTTTCTGTTTCTATAAAGTTTTGAATCCTCTTTTCATTTACTAATCTTCTAGCCTTGTTCCTTATCATTTTTGTAGTAATGATTCTGCCTGTACTCTTCTCATCTAAAACCCATGTTTTAATTTCCTCTTCAATTTCAGGCAAGTGTGAGGCTGGGTGGTGAAGGTTACAGTTTCCTCTACAGTTTTATCACTGCCCATAGGTTATTTGCCTGCACCAGTAACATATCATTTTTTTTCTGTAGGTGGAGGGCCAAAATATTTTGCAGCTTCTCTATTTCCATGCTCTTTAGCATAGTTTATTACATGAAGCTTGTACACAACAGTGTAGCTTAACCTCTTTCTTGCTGTTGTCATATCTGAAAGAGTGAAATTCAGTCAAAAATTTTCCTTTATATGATCTGTACAACCTGCATCTTGTAAACGTCTTAGTGGAATAATTAGGATATAAAAATTCTGATTGTATTTATGCCAATGCAACTGGAAGTTATACTAAGAAAAATATTAATGAAACAAATATATTTTATAAATATGTAATTTGAATTTATTGCATATAATTTTAGTGAAACAAAGTACTAATATTAAACATGATGAAAATAATATAATGAATATTATCAATGATAACACTTTTAATCTGCATAATAGCCTTTTAAATAATGACAATAGGTATATGAAAGTTACTCTAATGTCTAAGCTAATAGGAGTTGCCAGGTAGCTAATTTCAGCTATCACAAATTTTAAACCTACACATGGCATATAAGAGACAGGGAAATTTTAAAAGATATTTTTAGGAAAAAAAAAATGTGCCATATATTCCATCAAATATGGTAGTTTTTATTTTCCCAAGTACTTTCAATCACATCTGAGACCATCTTCAGGGGGTTAAGTTGTCTATGAGTATGTATATGTTTTTCTGTAAATTCGAAACATTTCAACTGTTTGTTTTTACTTATGCAGCATTCTAGATTTCAAAGTTCAAAGGACAAAAAATCTCGTTCATTGATGTATTGATAGACAGATTGAAAGTACTTGGGAAAATAAAAAAACTAATTGAATGAAAATTTGGGTATTTTTCTTAATCAATTTTCTAAGACTACCAAGAAATTAATCTACAAACTTGAAATGATCACAATGAAAACTAATTGACATGATATGTCTAAATTATTTAACCAAACCTGTTTGAATGAAAATATGCTGCCTAAATATACACAAAAGAATTTATAGATAATTTAGTAGAATAATTAAATCTTTCAGATTGTGGTAATGATATGCAAATATTAAACTAATGAAGTATTTTAAATCTTAATAATATTTAGGTTTTTGACAAAAATATTCACTACAGTGTGCTATGAAAATGCTGTTTTAATTTATTTAATAATCTTTGTTTATCTTTATTCAATTGCAAACTAAATTGATATTCTATGCATGTAGAATAATTGCCGTTTACTTTTTTATTGAATAATTCTCGACTTTTAAAAACTTTTTTCTCAATTTTGAAAGAAATTATTTAACATTTTAAAAATTTACCATATTTTTCAGACAGAACAACTGAAACAGAAAGCTTTGAAGAGAGAACATGTGGTTTTGGTGACCATAATTGAGAATTATTCAGGCTCTTGGTTACCCATCAGTAAAGGCTGTAAAGTTATATACAATATTCCATGTACAGATGAGGTCAGAATTCCTGTAAATGTAGGTGACCAAATTGAAGTAACCAGAGGGAAACGGTAATGATTTCCTTATAATACAATACATCATGTCCAATACTTAAATTAGGTTTATATTTAATAATTATTTGGTGAAATCAAATTTTCTGTAATTTGCAACACCTTTGGAAAATATTGGTTTTATTAACAAAAGTCAAAATATATTCAAATAATTTTTAAACTGTTCAGTTTTTAGCCTTTTCATTGGATACTGAAACTGCAAAGTTATTCCCACAAAAAAAAAAAAAAATGAAAGAAATATTTTTGAGATATGAAGGCGGGGGGGGGCTCTCCACACTTCAGATCTTTCTAATTTTAAAGGTCTTCAGTCATGAGCTAGATAAATTGTAAATTGTTATTAGCTGAATTCAGGCTAACATTTTTTGATTTGATGAGGCTGTAGGTATGAATAAGATGGGTATTGAAAAATAAATCCATTTTATAATACTGTGATGATGATTAAGAAACTCTCTTTGCACTCACTTCAAAAGTAGAATTATATTAAATAGATAAACTTCAAAGTATAAATTTAATACAGCTATTTTATGAAATTCTATAATGTATATTTTTTTTATTTAATAATGAAGTGCTTTATATTTTCAATAATACAGAACAACAGAAATATCATTACTTACATTTTTAAAGAATAGATGTTTGAATTAAAAATACCATGAATTTTAAGAAAGACACAATATTTCCACTTTTCTATTTTGTCATTCTGCTACTTTGATTTAAGGTCAAATGAAGTTTAAAAACATTTAAACATTATTAGTGAAGATCAAGTCACTCAAGAAGTGGTGTACATGAAACATACTTTTTGATTCAATTTTAACATTTTACAATGTCAAGCCATTAAAGTTATCGATGAATAAAGACTAATTTTAATAAATATATTCTAATCATGGTAAAATGTTGAGCTTTATTGCAATTGAATCAATTTTCAATGTTCTTATAAACCTTGATAATTTAAGACAGCATTTAATCTTTTTCTAGAAATATCAAAATTTTGGTTGTCAGGTAACTGAACAAATGTTTTAACTGCAGCAGATATTTCCATTATTCACAATGGCAATGATTGATGTTCCTGTAATCAACACTTAATGAATAGATTCTGGTTTATATTGGAGTTTTATTTGAATGGGACATGTAATAAATTTTCTTGTGATATTTAAAATAGAAAATAAATTTACTAGTAACAAATAGAATTATTACACAGATTCTTAAAATTATTAATCAGAAATATATGCATTATAATAATATATATTTTATCTAATATTATTAACCACTTTATTTTATTGATAGAATAAATACTTATTGAAATATGAAGGTTTATTAAATGAATGATACCAATGCCTATCTGCATAGAATGAATGCTTGTTTCTTCTGCACAGTAGCCATTTGTATAAAATTTCCTCAATATCAAAGTCATGGCCACATTGCATATTTAAAGCTTTAAAATAGATTGTGAGTCTAATTTGATGGATAAATAGAAATTTTTAATAGCTTCATAATTTGCAGAATATAAAACAATGCTGGAAATTGCAAAAAATGATCAGCTCTGAAGATGTTTGTTGAAGAATCAGGATGATTCCAATGTAGGTCTAATATGGACAAATTGGAGACTTTATCTTTCCAATCTCTGCCCCAAATCAAGAGAAAAGTGACAAAAAATCTGCCTTTGCTTTTTTACAGATTGTGATAGCAAGAAAAGTGTCAAAAAATAAAAGAGTTTAAGTCCTAAAATCAAATGTCAAAAAATGTGACATTTTCCTTTAAATGACATCCACAAAGAAAATCAAATGAAATAGGCAACAGAATAACTGAAAACCAATTTTTATCTGTTCTTTTTACTACTATATGCCTTCATGATAGATGGCACAAAGGATTACTGGCAACTGAGGAAACAACCTTCACATGTTGAGATTCTAATGAGCTTGAATTAAGTTTTTTGTTGTTTTTTTTTTTTAATGTATGTATATTTTTCATTATATGATTTAATTTTATCTAATGTATTATATATTTATATATAATCTGTCAAAATCCAAGTAAGATGATTTATAATAAAATGTTTTCTCAATTCTATTTAGATATCCAAATACTGAATTGAATATATCTACTGAATTGAATATATCTCACTACTATAGTCTACAAGTTGGTATGTTTCACAGGTCACTGATTGTAGTGGGTTCAATCCCCACTAGGATGTTTCCCAAACTTTGTGCCAAACTAAGCTAAGCTTATTAAATAGCATTGCCACAAGCAAATTTAAATGTCCAGTTCAAATAATGGTTATATTTATATAAATTTCCTTTTGTTTCTAATGAACTTGTAAAAGATTTATGCAAAAATTCTTTTTCTTTTTTTTGTTCTTCATTATTACATTTTATTTCAGGCACTGGTTATATGGTCAAAAAGTTGCTGAAAATAAAAATTCAGGTAATTACCAAATATTGTGACTATATTGATTTTATTTTTTTTTTAATATTCTGCTTGTTTGTGTATATATATATATATATATATATATATATATATATATATATATATTCAGACAGGCATTAATAAATAATTTAGACATGTTCTGCTTACTTATTTTCGATAAGATCCTTTCATATTCACGAATAAACTTTTTTGAGTGGTTGTTAAAGATGAGAAGAAAACACTATGTTGGCTCATATTGCATTTATTCCGAGTACTTTCGACATAGCATAATGTCATCATCAGAGTATTGTTAAATATAGAGTAAGTATTTAGTGTTCATGGTTATGAAGGACAGAAGTTGTTGTGGTCTTCTGAAGACTACCATTTTTATATGTGAATCCACAAACACTGTGTCATGGCTGGTTGACAGACACCGTTTTTAAGGGGAGGTAACTAGGTATGCTGTAGAAAAATTTTGGGCTTGAGTAGTTGCTAGATAAAGGAAAAACTAATGACAAGTGCTGACATTTAAAGACTATCTATTGTACACATTTTAAAATGTTTGTGGAATATTCATAATTAATTTTATTGAGGTTTGTTTTCAATTTTTTTTATATAAATAGCTTTGAGAATTTTTAGTTTGTGTTTATTCTGTTCGTGGAAAAGTATGGGGCTATTTTCGACAAGGATTTTTCTGAATTGCGAGTGTGAGCAGGTATGTTGTAAGTGTTTAAAAATATTGGAAGTATTATTCAGGTTAAGACTTAGCCAACTTGACAGCATTGTTGTCGTGTGTCCAACATTGATATTATTTTTATCGTTGGAGATGCAGTCTCCCAGAGGACATTTAAATTTATAAGTGATGTTGGTTTTCTGCAACACACAAGTGGGAGGGAGAACTTTGCCCAAGACATGCTACATATGAATGAATATTTGCCAAGATGTGAAGAAAGCTGGTTAGGTGCTTGGTGACTCTATCCTCATACCCAGTCATGGGACTGATGATGAACTTTTAGAAATGAACATATAAGCTTTGGAAATACTTTGAATATTTTAAAATATTTTTTTTCATTTTGTATGTGTGTGCATGTGTAATATAAAAAATTCTGGTTGAGTTACCAGTTAATCAGGACTTGAGCCAAATTCTAGAAAAAAAAACAAATCAATTATATAATAATTTCCTACTATTTCCCATCAGAATGTTGTGTTATCAGTAACCTTTTAGAGTATAGGTATAATTATGCATTATTTAGTGCATGCCACATTTTAAACTTTTAACTATGAAGCCATGAAACATGTAGAATGTCTAAAATGTTAATTTTTAAGAAAGTAATGAAAGCAATCCCTTATTTAGACATATCTATTTAGGAAATATCAACAGGTACTACAGCATGATCCAAATTGCCAGAGTTATGATGCTTGATAAAAGCAAGGAGGGAAGAAACAATTCAAGTAAAGAAACATGTTGATCAGTATTATTAGAGAGATGAGTAGGGAAATCCACTATTTTGTTGTTGTTGTTAAAACTGTTGGAATGTTAATAGAAAATAATCAGTTATACAGAAGGAAAAGTAAAAATAAACAAGGCAAAATCAATTTTAGGAATAAAATCCTTTCTACTCCATATTTGGAAATACCTCATCTTCCTTAAAAATATGATATTGAAATTTAAATAAATAATGACAGCCATTCATGCCAGTGTATAAGATACCAATTTCAATGTATAAATAAATTAACAAATATAATAATATAATATATTAATATAGATATCATATTAATATTCATAATATAATAATAATAATAATAATGGTATTTTTACTCCCAACACTATTTATTTATTATTATCATAACATTAATTGTTTAGTGGCATATAAATAAGCTGTTATAATAAACCTTAGAAAATAGATATAAAAAAATAGACATTAGAATTAGGAATATGACTCCTCCAAAATGTCTTCTTTTTCTTTATCATATATAAAAATGTTAAATTATGAGTAAATAAATAGAAAAAATTATTTTTGTTATAAACTGAGTTTTGTTTAAAAGCTATTTGTTGCTGGTAAGTTGTTTACAGTTGTTAACAATTCTATTAACATTTGATTCACTCAAATAGATCTGTAGATATTGAAATAAAACTTCTTAAAATGTGTAAAAATATGACTCAAAAATTTTGGAAATTACTGATTTCAAAAGAATTGATTAGTTTATTTTGATTTATAAGAATTCTTCTTTTTTTTTTTTTTCCTTTTTAACCTCAGTTCTAGAAATAAATTATTAAATAATAACAATGTGTTATAATTTTTAAAAGTAGCATAATGTTATCCAAGATGATTTTTATTTAGCCTGTGTGGTTAATGATTTTTTTTTAATTGTCAACTTCTGGGTACAGCTTTATAAAAGATTAAGTTTGTTTAATTTCCCAAAGAAATTTGCTCGCCCGGTCGGTGGGGCATCAGAATACGCCGACTGCCCCCCTGCAGAGGGTAAAAGTCCCTCAATGGGGCCACCTGTTGGCCGTGGGTGGCGACCCGTAATGTCTGGGGACGGGATCCTGGTGGTTGAGCAGGTTGTAACCCAGGTGTAAAGCGGTCACAATCCTGTAACACACCACTTACCTGGGCTAGACGGGCGGTCGGAGGGGCCCGATCCGATCAATCGGCTGGTCATGTCAAGCCCCATCATATATAATCCAACCCAAACCTATAACTGACACTCCTCTTCCCAAACAAAACTAACACTTAACCCTAAATATGTGATGGAAGGCGGTGGCTGAGGGTCAATCAATTTGGGAGAAAAAAGGATCTGACACACTTGTTAAACCTTCACAGCTGTAATACTTGGAAAACGGAAACAAAGGAACATGCATGCTCAAACACTCCTCCCAAAAAGAGTATATCATTCACGTAGCCCCAACATGGCAAGGCGAATGGGTTTCCCCCTTGACATGTCCCAATCTGGACTCCGTGGTGGGTAGGGAGCGAGAATGATGAACAACAATAAAAACAATCAATGGAAAAAAAGAAATCTTCCAAGAGACCACATGTGGATAACAACTGGGAAACATAGAATGAAAGTGAAAACTTTCCACGGTTTATTGTACTCAAGCAATAAGCCAAAAATCATTATCAGAAATTTCTCCGATTTAAAATACAAAAAGCAATATCAAATATCATAAT